CAGATTTCTTTCCAGTTTTCACCTCGCTTCAGAACTTGTGAAATTTTGAGATTTGAGCCAAAGAAAAACGCGAAAGTTAGAAAAATAAATTACTGCTTGAAAACCTGTAATAGAAGGGCCCCTTCACTTTTAATTAGAACCCATATATCCAGTTTCTAGTGAAAGATATCAGTAAGTGGCTCACTGACGGAATTTTTAACATAATATGTCAAACATTTTATCAGTTGTCATATTTCTCCTATCAAGAATAGAGATAAGTTAGGTGAAATTGGAAACAGTGGGGGACATTGTACTACAGGTTGTTACGGTAGATGCAAAAATTAACAATATGTAAAAAAGTTAAAGCAATTCAAATAAAATATGATATGNGAAGAGATTTCTGCACATTTTGATGCAATAAAAAATTTCACCGTAGACCACCTTTAATTAGAGGGAATACTTCCCTTTCTTCCCTTTACGCATGTTTCATTTTTCTTATCCTTGAATTTAGATTTGACAAAACATTTGAACTGCCTTCAAGAAGTTTAATACCGGATCGAATGTACGATGATCTAGATGTTCTTCCGAAATCATCAAAAACCACTAATTTGAATTCCAACTCAACTTCCAATTCCAATTCCCTTGATAACAACAAGAATTCAGAGAATATCAGCATGTACAATGATGGATACTATACGCATGGTTGGCTTTTCTATCGACTTTTTTAAAATTAACACTTTGCAGATAACCCTGTCTATATTTTTAGTTTTTAATTTTCCAATTTCCAGAAATCAAGCCTGCCTTGCCACGTCATCATAATATTTCAAAACCGGAGAATCTGAAAGTAAATACAGAAAAAATCGAAGTGCTCTCAAGTTCAGATGAACCTATCGGAAGGACAACATTAACGAAAAGAAGTGATTCTGGACTAGGATCTAGTCTTTCTAGGTCACCGAGTGGTCCTCATACTCAACGAATTCGTCAATCACTTCTACCGTATTCAAATGCCACGTCAGCGGGAATCAGTTCAGCATACTCGTGTTGTTCTTGGGAATCTTCGGCGAAATTGAGTGATGAACAACCATTTTTCGCTGAAATCGAACTGGCGAGATCGATTGATTCGCTGAATTTGATAGAGATGACCAGACTGCGAAAAACAGCTTATCTTCGATTATGTTCAACTTTGGAGAGGAACATCGAAGGAAAAGTAAATTTGACGGATCCGGATCAAGATGAATTACCATCAAAACATGTATGGAGTGTACATCGATTAATTAAAAGAATGAAGATTAATGATGGACAAAAGAATCAAAAGGATAATGAAGATGGTGCAGTTTTTGGAGTTGGTTTGGATGTAATATTCCAAAAAACTGGATATTTCTTACCGAGACCGATCCTGGAAGTTATGAAATTCCTACGAAATATTGCTCCTGAAACAGTTGGAATTTTCCGAAAGAATGGAGTAAAGTCAAGAATCGCTGAGCTTCGTTCGATTATTGAAAGCTACAGTGGAAATACGGATGTGTTCGTCGGAGAGAATATTCTAGATTCTACGCAAGTTCATGATGTGGCTGATTTGCTGAAACAGTACCTTCGGGATCTTCCCGAACCACTGATGACAATCAAAATGTCTGAAGTGTTTGCTAACATTTGTTCCGTAGTTCCAGATGTTGATAGGTACAATTTTATCAGTTTCGGATCTGTTTTGAAATTTTGGTGATTTCAGAATGACATCCCTACAGTATGCAATTCTACTCCTTCCCGATGAAAATCGAGAAGCACTGAAAACTCTTCTACTATTCTTGAAAGAAGTTTCCAGAAATTCACAAGTTAACAATGTAAGCTAATTTTTCATTTTCTGGTATTTCTAATAAAAAATAATTTTCAGATGACTGCTCAAAATTTGTCCGTTTGTTTCACTCCATCATTATTCCAACTTGGAGCATCACGACTTGATAAGGTTACGCCAGGAAGTAGACGCCATAAAACGGTCGGAGCAACTGGATTGCCATCAGAAAAAGAAATGAAGGAAGCGAGAGCTTGTCAATTGTGCTTGACAATGCTCATTGAATATGTGCAGACCATTTTTATGGTCCCAGATGGCCTTGATGAACAGTTAGTCTTTTTTTGCGTTTTAATTAGCATAATTTAGAATTAGAAATCAATAGGGAAACTAATCGAATTACACTTTTTTCAGTACTGATGCTGAAGACGATAATCCAAATTTGACTGATCTTGGTCTGAAAGGACCCCGTTCTTTCCTTGTCGATCGTGTAATTGATATGATCAGAGAACACTCTGATGGTTGGAAGAACTGGACAATAGAAGGATCATTCCGTGGTGTTGAAGTATCATCTAGGCGTCCCTCTGATTCGCATCCACTGAAGACGTTCCGAGTGTGGCTCGATATTCCAGCAGGACCAAAAAGTGTCATGATGCGGCTTCTCAAGGAGAGATACACTTGGGATTCATCTGTTATCAATTGGAGGCATTTGGAATATGTCAGTGCTCCAGATACCGATATTCATCAATATGTTATCAATGAAACTATTGGACATCCAACTAAAGATTGCCATGTAGCGAGGTAAAAAAGAAGACTGAAGAAGATGTGAGATAAAATTTTCAGATTCCACTCATCGGGATTGACTGAAATTCGAGGTGCCTGCGCGATTGCGGAGCGAAGTGTGAAGTGCTCGGAAGACCAGTTGTTGGGTGGAATCGCGGCTACAATATTTGACCAACGCTTCCTAATTGAACCAGTTAGTGGTGGTCAGTCACGGGTCAACTACATCGCTCGGGTCGATCTAAAGTAAGTATCAGTTCCAAATGAGGATTAGAGTTGCCTAACTTCTTCAACATGAGTTTTCTAGGCCGCCGTAGTTAATGGTCCATAAATGGTGTAACACGCACCTGATCTGTGTTCTAGTTGATTTAGAATGGTAGCCCTTTTTTAAAACTTAGTTTTCTAGAACATCAATCATTATGGCCTAGAAATGGCCTGATATTTACCTAGTGGGTGCTGTGTCATTTTAACATAGTGGTCTAACTTTCGAAAGTTGAGTTTTTTAGGCCACCATGGTAAATGACCTAGAAAATACACCAGGTGAATGTCAGACCATTACTAGACCGTTTGCCATGGTAGTTTGGAAAACTGAACTTGTGAAAGTTAAACCCTCCTGATAAAAATTGAATAGAACGCCCAGTTTGGTGGTTCGAAATTGTGTTCGAAACTTTTTCGAAGTTAGCCGTTTTTTAAATCTCTTTTGAAAAACACACACTCTTTCAGAGTACGTTGAAGTCAGGGAACGATTTTCCAAAAAAAAAACATTTTTAAACCCCATCAAATTTGAGGAAAAATATCGGGGAAGTTTAAAAAATATTTTCTCTGTTTTTACAGAGGTCGCTCGCTTCAATGGTACAATAAATCATTCGGATCTATCATGTGTCGTCACCTCGATCGTCTTCGAGAATCTTTCCTCCTTGGAGACAAGGGCGGTCCAGAAACTAATGTTTAAAAATGCAATGCAACCCAATTCATAATCACAAAGAAATAATTAAATTCGAAATCTAGTCAGGGAACGAATATGCCATGTATCACAACCAATCTTCCCGGTTCTCTTCTATTTTCCTGTTATTTTAATTTAACTTTTTCATTCTCTCCTCAATGAACTTTGAAGTTTCACAATCCAGTTCTCTCTCTTCTTTTTGCTCACCACCTCCCTTTGCTCTTTCCTCTGTTCTTTTTTCGATTTGTTTATCTTTTTCTTTTATATCCTTTTCTTATTTATTTCTTCCTCATTCTCTTCCCGTGTGTCTTACAGTTCTGAATATATAATTTTGTTTTAAATTCCATTTACAGCAACATCATCATGAAGAGTTGTCATATCTTTATTCACTATCAGAACAATGTAATATTGTCATCATCATTTTAAAAACATATCAAAATCATGCATGTAAATACCCAATAGAAAAAGGTTTGGTCATTTTTAAATTGAATCACGGTGTCCGGTACAGTTTGTAACGCAAGTCGGGGGCATGGGGGAAGAGAAAATGAAAGAATTCGGGTGGGAAGAAATAAAGCAACGAAATGAAAGAAACATCTGAAAAGCTAAGGGGCTTTGTTGGTCAGAAGAGAGTTGATATAGATAGGTCAAAATTTGTACATAAACATTTTTTGGTTCGAGAATTTCCCAGAAACGGAACAACTAGTCTTGCAAAAAGACTCCGCTAATTCGATTCTGTGCTTCTCTTGACATTGCCCGGCGTAAAGCTGTCAATACGGTAGAATTAACTGCATGCGGACTCTGATGTTTCTTGATCTGTCGTTGATTTTTTAATGCTGTATGAACATTGAATTGTGTGGGAGTTTTTGATGCTTGAACCGCTGCCTTCATTTCAACAGAAGTGGGCGGAGCCAGGAGGGAGGTCTTCGCCATGCGATGCTCTTTGTGCTGCTTTTTCGGCGGCTGGAAATAGATTGTTTAATATACTTGAGAGTACACCGGAAACTCTTACCGTATGTGAAGAGCTGGCTGATAACCCAACTCCTTCGTCTGAAGTACCAGGTTGTTTCGATGTGGATACTGTAGTTGGGTGACTTCTTTCCTCTTCGGTTTCCGATTGTTCTCCAAGAGTTTCACTGATGTGATCTGAAATTTCACACGATTAACTTCCCACTTTCGGAATAAACGACTCACCATCAGATTTCTCCATAGATGTCTTCTTCTGAACCTTGTTCTTTGTCAACAATTCCCAGGAAAGTGGTTGTTGTTTGACCCATGGATGATTCAGAATTGCTTCTAGAGAACATCTTTGAAATGGATCGAATGTCAGACACTTGCTAATAAGATCCTTGACTTCAGAACTGACTGGAACAAAGAACGGAAGAGGCCCCAATAGATGGGCGGTGCAAATATCTTTTTCATTCCGGAATGGCAGTCGGCCGTTGAGTGAGTTATACAATAGTACACCCAACGACCACACAGCGGCTTCTCGTCCCAAATAGAGAGAATGTAAGAACCATTCCGGTGGACAATACAGTCGTGTTCCTTGGAAATCCGAATATTGACTCCGCCGAAGTACGGTAGCTGCACCGAAATCAATCAGTTTCGTTGATCCTGTGACCAAATCAATGACTACATTTTCATCCTAAAATGATTCAATTGAAATTTCTAACATTCCGACCATTTATCGAATTACCTTTAAGTCTCTGTGAAGAACTCGATTCTGAACGCATTCATGGACTGTCACTGTGATTTGACGGAACAAGAAATGCGCCATCTCTTCGCTAATTTTGCCTTGTCCTTTGATGAAATCAAACATATCAATGCATGGATAAGGGCGTTCCATAACAATCAGGAAACCTTCTGGGATACTGTACCAGTCAAGGAGACGGATCACACCACGGATTTTGGAGCATTTGGCGAGCATACAAATTTCCATTGGAACTTGTTCTCCATTGATCTGAAAATAGACACTAGAATGTTTTTTCATAATACCGTATACACTTACTCTTGCCCATTCTTTTACATTGCTTCTTTCGATGAATTTGACAGCTACCAAAGTGTTATCAGAAGTTCTGACAGCTCTGTATACCACTCCAAATCCTCCTCTACCCAGCTCAGCTTTCAGTTTGTAATTCTTCTTGAATTTCGAAAAGCCACGACTGGATTCTCCATTCAGCAACAATTTCAGATTGAAGAATTGCAGTGAAGCAAGCTTCTTCATTTTCTTCGCAAGCACTGGAAGTGTCATTGGTGTGTTTTGGGTTCCGGATGCACCGGGAGACGAATGTGTCGGTTGTCGCGTAATTTTGAACTGAAAAGAGAAGATGATAGCTGACGGTTTATAGAGGAACAAAAGAATTCCAGTGAGCTGGAAAACAATAAAGATAAGAGCAAAAAAGAGCAAGACGTAAGAAGACCAAAGGAAATTACGTAAGAGAAGAAGAAGAAGGTGGAGAAGCAAACTATAATTGTCTAATAGTTACTTTTTGATTGCTACACGAAAGAATGTGTGCTGCTTTTCTATATTTTTCTTATCTTGAAATCGGGAAGGGGCGGGGTTTAGAATTCCAAACTCGTGTAATACACGTGGAGGAACGATGACTGCTGGTGGCAGACAGTCGGTGATCTTTCAACAATCAGTTGTTATCAACTGACTATTTATTATGATGCTAGACGTCGCGAGAATACAATTGAAACGGTTACAGTAGACTAACAATATGACATCAGAGTATTCAAGGTTGCTAGTGAGTCTCTGATTCATCTTCGGAGGTCCTCTGCCCACTCATTTTGGTACAATCGCCGAACTTTCAATGTTTGAAACTTGGCGGGCATAAGGTGGTCGTGAAGGTACATTTGTTTTCGATTTTCGGGTACAAAAAGAAAATGAAAAAGAAAAAGAAGACGTCGATTGTTATCGTCGTCCCCTCTATGCAATTCAGTGAACCCCTCCCGCCGACGCAAGAAGAAGTAGCACGTGCCATACTGTAGGGAACAAGACAATTTGAAAATAAGAAGGAATTCCTGATGACTCGCGGTATTGGTTTCTATTTTGTTGGCATGGTTAGATTGCAGAGAATGGGATGCTCAGAAATCACATGGGAAAGAGAAATTATGACTTTCAAAAATAGAGATTTTGGCGAGAAATGAATACCTGTTACAAAATGGTTCACTTGTACCGACTTCTAGATTTTTAGGTTCATCTGATCACTGGTACACAAGACTGTCACGCGGTGGCATTTTTAGGCTGGATCTGTGTCATGGCCCTGATAACAGAGACTTTCACAGGGCATAAAGTTTTCTAATGATTGGGCATAAAGTTTTCTAATGAAAAAACCTATTTATGGAAAGTAAGCAATAGCCTAAAGAAGTTAAGCCTACGCCTAAGGAAGGTAAGCCTAAGTCTAAGAAAACTAAGCTTAATCCTAAGCAAAGAATGTACAATGCTGAAACTTTTCAATAAAGTAGATTGAACATTAGCAACCAACCTACTGCTCCAAAAGCTCTAAAAGTGGTCCTGAGCTCTCTCTCTCTCCTACATATAAAAAAGTGAACGTAAATAGAAGTGATGATAGTTTTGAAACGTTGAACTACAACTGGTAGTTTTGTGGAAATAGGGGCTTCTTCTAGGCAGAAAGTAAAACAAAAACCAGATCGTTCGGATGGTGAAAAGGAGGTTGTGTTTAACTTTTCATCACTTGGGCAAACAGGAGGCCAAACACTTTTTTTCCATGAAAACTTAAAACTATTGAGACACGAATTGAAAAAACAAGTCTTGAAGCGAACGGAGTTTCATTAAAAATAGAAACTGCTCATTTTATTCTGAAACAATTTCTAATTTTTTAATCAATGATCTTCATGTAGTGGAAGTCAATATCTAGGTTATCAACTGTCACCAATTCACTGAATGACAAAAGAATGCCGACAAAGAGATTCTGAAGGGGCCTGTCATTACACATTCATAGAAAAAGGTCAAAGTTGAATTACGTCACGAGAGAAGAAGAAGCAGAAGAAGATAAAAAGAAGAGGAAGAAGCTTAAACAGGACATGAGAATAACATTCATATTAGTAGAAGACGAGTGACTATCACCACAAACGACTTCTCCTATATCGTCGAAGGGCCTAAGTTTTATTAGTCATTTAGGAATTTGAGTGACGAGATGAAAGACGAGGAGAGATGTCTCCTAGAAGTGGTCAGAATAAAATTGTCGTCTTGGGAATGAAATTCGATAGTAGGCGAATGATGACAGGAAATCTGTCTAATTTCTTTAACTCGGAAGCGAGCGTGACTCTTCCGTCTCTTTTTTGCAGAAAAGTTCCGATTTCAGTAAATAAAAAATAGCAACGTCTTCAGCGGGGAACATGTTTGGGAATGATAATAACAATAGAAAATAGGAAGAGATTTCGTAATCTAGGCAAGGTACTGTAACAAAATTTGACAGCCATTCAGTTTCATGTTGTTGGACTTTAGGGACGAGCTTTATTTTTCTAGTCCCCCGCGACCGAGGTCAGAAAATTTCGCACTCGATTTATTTTTCTTCCCTTTCAGTGTTTTTTTTTCTGATTTTCTCAATGTTTTTCAGATTTTTCGAAATTCTCTGGGAGAAAAATTAACAAAAACTTCGAAAATTTTGGAAAACCTGAAAAAAACTGACAATCAAGAGAAAAAAATTCAAGACAACACAATAAAAATTTCCCCTTTCATCGCCTTTAAAATCAGCAATACTTTTACGGAATTTAGAATCTTACATTGAAAAAAAACCTCGCCAGTTGAAAGAGCAAAGAATAGAAAAGTACCATGGACTTCAGAAGAAACTGAAAAAATCGAAATTACAAAGACCCAGTACATTCTGGGCTCAAAAAGTTCACCTCTTGAACTGTATACCTGAGTTTCGAAACTTTGAAACCCATTCTCTTATCATTGAGTCTGATAGAAAAGAAGCTGACTTTTTCGTGGAATCAGGAGGCCCAATGGGGAACTTATTTTATAGTGATAACCGACTGATAAGATAACACAATTCATTAAGCATACGATCAAATGTTTCAACCATTCGGAGCACATTTCACTAAAGATCAAATCGAAGAAAATGGGGGAAGCGTAGGTGAGAGAGACAACTGATAACTGATTTGGTGGACTCTATGGGGGTGGACATCAGAATTCTGAAATTATTGGCAACAAGAATTAATTGCGGGGGAGCCTAACACACAGTATAAATGGCAGACGAGATGGAGACAGAGTTGTGAGGTCATTGTCTAGAGGACAATACCAAAAATAGTGTAAATTCGAAACTTTGTTTATCTCTATTGTCGAATTAAAAAAAGTGACACCTGAGAATTTGAAAACTTTTGCTTTTTTTGATCTACGAAAAAGTGCGGCAAAAACGTATTATTTCAAAATTTGGGCTCGTTCGAGCTACTTTCGTATTTAATTTTAGTTTTTTGCTGAAAAATAGATTCTAGAGATGCTAGCGATCATTTTTATATCAAGAAATCAAAATTTTGTCTAGAAAATCCCACTATCACATAAATAAATTTGTTATCTACAGTATCAGTTTTCGCTCCACCCCCTCGTAAATCGACACGAGCGCCGTCTCCGAGATTTTCAGGTGTCACTGTTTTTAATCCGACAATAATTGTATGCGTACATCTTGAGAATATCTATCGAAAGTGAGAAAGATTTAATTTAAAGATTAACATAAGAATCTCAAGGACCCAAATACAATGATTGGGAATTTGGAGAACAGGACGATCGAACTCGAGGTTAAAGAAACTTAAATAGCCCAATCTCCGGAAACTTGGTTCATTGAGTATTCTCATTCGTCAAAACATTATTTTCGTTTGATTTTTAAGTCAAAAACTTAGTTATCATTGATCGGTCAGATAAGAGGAATCACATTTTTGGTGACTCGTAAAATGATTTTGGTTAAAGTTTGTTTTAGACTATACTGAAGTACGTCATGCTCATTTTAGTGTTAATTTGGGACAAAAAAGTATACTTTTAGCTAGATAAAGTAACGGTGTGTGGCAGCAGCATGTTTATTTAAAAACAATACAAAAACATAACACTTTTTCTGCACCGCTCTTTTTTTCTTCCGACGTAAATAGAGAGAAGAACATATTTGCACAAGTTTTTGCCAGTTTTATGTACTGTTCCGATGATTCTTTATTACTTTTCTGGAACTCTCTTTTGGGGTGAACGGATGAGGATTAAACCGGTTGAAAAATAGTTCAAAGATTCACACTTTTTAATGGAAATCGAGTTGGCACGTAGTCGATTTCATTGCTTTTTATATGACTCTACAGAGAATGATCGAGTTAGTGGAAGAAGAATTATACAGTATGGGAATCTATTAGAAATTGGGAGAGACACTGGAATGATATGGGAAAGACAAATCGAACTGAGTGGGTCTAAAAAAGAGCTACAGTAACCCAGATAAAGGAAGGCATGATTTCGAAAACGTATGTTATGAAATTTTGATTTTTGAACAGAAATTAAAATGAAATTTGTGAAATTTTTTGAAGTAGTAACAACAATGAGAAAAAGTCTTAAAGATTTTCCAAAGTAAAAATTATCGGGGAAAGAGAGCGGAGTCAAATATGAAGCCAAAAAAAAAATAAATAATAAATAATAAAAATATGGAGCCTAATATGTTTTTTGTTTTTTTTTACATTTACATACTTCCATGAGAACAGCAGTCCGGCAAAACCGTGTACAGCTTGAAATTTAGGCTCCGCCCCCTGACTCCGCCCACTTGTCCTGGGAAATGTTCTTTATCGAAATTTGACGAGCCTCCAGAAACTCGAAAATACAAAAAGAAAGGCTTGATCGTTTGACTCTTATTTATAGGAAAAATCTGTGGACCAACTGATAAATGTGGTATTGTCTATTCAAAATAATCGCGCGGGTGAACGAGTGAAAAAACGTGTAGAGAGTCTCCAAACCTGTAGAGGCGCTGTAGAGACGCAGACATTTTTACTCGTTCACTCGCGCGATTATTTTGAATAGACAATATGCCAAAAATCTAGGTCTGCAGAAAACTAAATTAATAGGGAAATGATGCACGTGATGAGTTTAAGTAACCCCCTTGTTTTGGTTTATGATGAAACAACTTGTGCAGAATTCTTTCGAAAACACAAACAATCACATGAGTTTCTGAAACTAATAAAGATATTGTAATATTTTGTTTTCTAAAAAAATACGGTCTGAGAGGATACATGTCATAAGAACGCTTGGGAATGACGCAAACTGCTCATGTTAATTACAAAAAGTTATTGAGCTAGTTTCGCAATTTTACTTCATTTTTCAAACATCCTGGAAGAGAAATGTTGACAGTTCAAGTATCAGTTTAGGATACATTCAAAATGGGAAAAAAGAAATAAAAGGGCCATAAAAGCGAATGGAAGAATGTGTGACTATTCCGTTCTCGAATCGATGTTTGAAGGTAGGGTAAAGGAAGAAGAAATAGAACTAGAAAAGCAAAGCTGACTTGTTTAAAATGAATATAAAAGGATTTAAATGAGATTTGGTTTGACAGCTGGTGGGTGGCCTAGGATCGGAGAAACTTCGGCTATGGATTTGAAGATAAAGAAAGTGGCTAGTTCCACAACAGTGAACATATGGGTAAATTAAAGTGACGAGCTTCTACCATCTTGTAGACATTGTTTGGCAAAAAAGGAGGAGTAAAAGAGCATGGAGGAGGTGACACACTGTTTATTCATTTTCTTCCATTTGTATTACAACACAAAAGTGATTCGATTCGATTCCTCACTCGATTCCAATTCACTTTTCAGCCCCCATCTCTCTTCCAATTCGTTTATTTTCTTATTTTCACAGCGGGACGTTTCACTTATATGAAACACATGCTGATAGTGATGATAACGAGTTGATTTGGGTGGTGGTAGGCAAAGAAAGAATACGAAATGAAAAAAAACAATGTTGACTGTTGTGAGTGGCAGAGACTGAGAGTCTGTGTGGACTGTAATTTTGCAGGGAATAAATACGAAATTTTATGTTCTGGAACGAAATGAATCTGCGTCCGGAACATTCCTGATTTTTTTGATTTTCAGATTATGGGGGCTGTCTGATTACTGTAACGTTTTGAAAACACTTTTTCATAGTCTCGATTCCTATGCAAAATATCAAAAATGTATCTACTCACAAAACATTTTTTGGGGTTATGATAAACAGTTTATCAGTTGACAAATTTTTATATCTTCAACAGAAACCGAGATAAATTTACTTCAACTTGACAGTGCGGGGGCCCTTTATTTACAGGTTTCACGGTAACTACGAGATTGAAAATATTCGCGTCTAAGCGCATTCAATTTAGGTCCTAGACAATTCACAATGTTTCTTTTTGAATTTCAGACAACACAAATCAGTAATGAAGCATAATTTGGTGGATGGTTTTTTTGGTTTTAGGATACCTGGATTTTCAGTTTACCGTACTCTTTGTGCTCCGGAAGTTCTAAAACTAAAAAAAAGTTTGTAACTTCGAAAATTATAACATTACGCAAACGGTTTAAAATGAAAAGCTATAAACGCTAGAAAAGAAGAACTGTTGTAAATAAGAACAAGCTAAAACGGAAGTTTTAGAATATTGCGAATCTAACGGAGCCTCCTTATCTACCATCGTAAAATTTCGAATACTAACGAACATATATTAATTTTCAAATATATGATAGTACAGCCTTCCTTAAAGTTCAACATTATGATTATCTATTCTATCTACTGAAATGGATGTATTAGATAAAAGACAGACTATAAAAGAAGATCTATCAGAAAAGAGAGAAAGAGGCAATGATTAGTAGGCGAATACAGAGAGACAGATAGTGTGAAAGAGAGAGAGAACGGGTTACATACCCGGCGACGTCAAAGGAGACGACACGCGACGACGATATGGAGATGAAGAGAAGGATTCTTGTAGATAATTTTGAAAAGAGGAAGAAGGAAGAAGGTGGATTAATGAGTGCGATGATGCTTCGGAGGGCACAAAGGTGACAGGGCAGAAGGCGGGAAAAATCACAGAGAGAAGATACAAAAAAGAAACGGAGGGAACTCTCATTTTCTCTTTCGGAGCACAAACACTCTTTTTTGACATATGCGCAGGAGCACGAGAGATCGCAGTTGGAAATGAGCAAAAGTGCGTGAAAAACGTTGAAAAAAACCGGTTAATAATTGTGGTGGCGAATTAGAGAGAGAAAGGAAAAAGAGTCCTACTACCAGGTGAGCAATAATCAACAAAACATATGCTTGTCAAACAGCTCGCCGAGTGTCAAACTGGCATGATAATCGGATCCACTCGGGTAGGGAGGATTGTGTGCTCTGATTAGTGAGTTCACACAAAAACATATGGAATTATTTATCTCGGAACACAGGGGAACTAGTTATCGGGAGGAACACTGGAAATTAGAGGTTGAGCAGAGGTTTTATGACAGTACGACACTTCACACAACTCTGTTTTTTGTGCTCTGGGACTGTAATACAGTATCCAGTTTGTGTTCTTCATTCTTGGTCCAGGATATCTAAAAAAAATTTATGAACAACTGTTTTTTTTTAAATCTGAAATTATTTTCGCAAATTTCGAAGTTCCAAAAAAACAGTATTACTTCTGAGATACCGTAACCCATTAATTAGTTGTTTGGTGTCGAAAAAAATGACGGTTATTCTCAAAATTCTATAATTCGAAAAATTTGAAAATTTGAAAACCCTAAAAATGGTAAAAATTTGAAACTACGAAAATTCTAAAAATATTAAAAATATAAAAATCTGAAACTTGGAAATTTTAATATCTAAAATCTTAAAAATTTCAAAAATCTAAAAATCAAAAAACTTGGAAATTCTAAAAATTAAAAAAAATCTGAAGTTCTGAAAATTGGAAAACTCTGAAATTCTGAAACTAAAAATTCGAAAATTCGAGTTTAACAGCTAGTTAAAATATCTCAACTTTTTTTTCCAATTATTTCTTCAAATAAAAGTTTCTTTTTCAAATATTTTTATAATTTTCTAAATATTAGAATACACCGCAAGTGATAACCTAAAATTATAAAAACTAGAAACAAGTTCAGTTGTAACTTCCTCAAGGGAAATTCATTTTTTAAGACCTCCTAAATACTAAACTATTCTTCCTCATGGGGGAAAAAGAAAGATCATATCTTCTAAATCGTCTTATCACTCATCCAACTTTTAGAGATCGTTTCTGATTGTCTCCGAGTCTCTTTGCCGCGCAGGTTTTATCTGTATTTCAATGCGCGATTTTCAAAAGATATGATATATTATCATCGATGATCTTTGCAAGGTTCTTTCACTTCTTATCAAATGACTCATCCTTGAAACAAGAGGAATACTTCTGGCTTCTGAATTCTGCATCGGAATAGAAAAATATGAATACAAACATACAAAAAAATAAGCTTCATATAGAGACCAATACAGAGAAAAAACCAGTCGCATGGAGAGGACACTGGGGGTTAACACAACAGCATCGTTTTGCAAGAAAAAGCGCGGAGAGGTGAGAATGAAAAAGCAAGAATACAGTTGATTCCAAATGACACAACTTCACACAAAAGAATCTCAGCGAAAGTCAAGTGACAGTTTTGAAGACGTTAAAATTCGATCGTTGAATTCTTAAAAGCCATTGTTTCTGGTTGTGTTGTTGTTTGCTTCTATTCTATTGAATAGCTCATTCCATTTGATATCGCTTGTTGTAATTTTGATTTCAAATTGTGTTTAGTGTTGTACGAAGGGAGTTGAAGTCTGTTGAAACAAGTATGAGCTCTGAAAATTGAATAGACTTCCAGAATTCCAAAAATAGAGAACCTAGGTAGAGAAGTGGCATCTCCCCACTTCTCGATACAAAACTTGCTGATCTCATCGTTTCCACGTAGCGCCGAGAAGCCTTCAAAAGGGACTGAAGAACTGCCGGTGACAAACTAGAAAGAGAAAAAAAGATGGAGATAAACGAAAGTCTTTGAAGATTCTTCCTCTCACCAACAGCAAATCGAATCTCTCCTGATTTGTCATGGTCTCTATCACTTCCCAAAACCATTCGATCACAATGTGACAGTCCGAGTATCCACCCTGCAATGATAACAGTTTTTCGATGGTGACGACGTCAAACGACGATCAGAAAGATTAGAAAAAAAGAAGAAAAAGAATTCTCATGGTGACCTGTAATGGTCACGAAGAAGGAACAAAGAATTTGTAGAATAGCTGTGTTCTACTGACCAGAATCATACCTGTCGACTGGTCGATTCCGGGCCGATTCCGGGCCGGCACGGGCCGGTTGATAACTCTACAACATAATAATCGGCCGATTGCGAATACAGAATTATGGTCCGGGCTGGCTTTTTCAGCCAGCTCGACAATTTTCGTCCGGCCCGGCTATTAAATATTGGTCCGCACCCGGTTACTGATTTATATGCTTTATTTTCTTTTTTATATGATTTTCGATTCTTAATGGTGCAATTTCAGTTTTGAAGAGTGATATCAGCCGGCCAAGGCCGGCCCGGAATTGGCCCGTCGACAATTATGACCAGAATAAAAAATTAAGAATACCTTGTAAATTGTATTTATCCTCCAATCGTTCAAATCGAGTTCTAATGATCCACTCAATATCCTTTTCAGTTCTGATGAGCACATTCCATTTAAAATATCAGCTTTCAGAATCTGGAACAATTTTCTTCACTTTCTTCTTTCTCATTTCAATAAACCTGACTGAACGATTCTAAAATAATCTCCAATGGTTTCTCGATTCCCCTTGTCGACTTTTTCTGACACATCAACTCTACGAATTCTGTTTTATTAGAATTCGTCACGATTTTCTTGTCTCCACCATTCAAAAGTTCTTGTTCGGTTAGCTGAAAAAAGACTACAATAAGTCATTTTGTTTGAAGTCACTCGCTTTTCCATTGACCATACTACTGTAAACAAAGGACATTTCAAGGGCATCGACGTCGTTTTCCAAAAGCCAATTCATACTTTTGTAGAAGTCGGCATCTGATTCTTGAAAGTCGGACAAGTCGATTGGCCTAAAAGGAAGAGATACATTATCTTATCAGAACTAGACAATTTTGTTTATCGATGATTTTCAATACTGGTTTGACCGCTAGATGAGATTCGAACAAATGTTCACTGGCCTTACTTTCTCTGTAGGCACTTGTAGAAGATATTTGAAAAGAATACATCAATATAACATCGGTGAATTATTGCTAGAGCAAGCACTTTTCCGCACAAAGTCAACCACTTTCTCTCTTTTTCAGATTCACATCCACGTGGCCTCAATTGAAGATGATAATCGTTGCCTTCGTATTCAAAATAGCCGTTGTTTGGATGAAATAGTTCTCGAGACAAGAGAATAAAGAATTCTCGTGAGAGACCTCCATAGTCGAGTCTGTAATAAATCTTGAAATAAAAAGTGATACAGAATCACAAGGTGGGTTTTCATGATCGTGGTGTTGATCTAGGATTTAGAGATCAACTTGTAAAAATGAGGGAACCATAGAACTTTAATATTTAAAGGGAGACTGCGATCAAAATTTTTGTAGTTTTTTTTTGCATTAAAGGTGGGGGGACATGAAAAAAACAATGTTCTCGAAATTCCGTTCAAAGATGCCCCTCGAGGAGTTGAACTTGTGAAGGCGATGATTGAGGGTGCGGCGCCGCTACCGACTGAGCCACGCGGGAAAAGAGAAAGCGGACGCCCGATTGCATACATAAAGGCGAGGACGACAGCTGTACGCAGAGTGACATTAAGCGTTGTACACCGTGACGGTAGAATGCATACTCTAGCTACAAAAAAACTACGAAAAATCTCCTGTCCCCCCACCTTTAAAAGTCCCCCTTTGAAGAAATTGAAGAGATGGGGAAACCAGAGAATGCTAACTCACGCCAACTCTCCTTCAAAGCGAATATGTAGTCTCGATTTCTTCAAAACGAATGGATCCACACTGAGAATCACTCGGAATGCATCATCCAGCAACCTATCTCTTGAAACTTTCCAACATAATCTACTTGGTCCTTTTCCTAATTTTTCTTTTTTCATCTCTTCATAAAATAGTTTTATGCTATCTCCTTCTTCTGTTTTCTTTGACTTTTCCGTACTTGAATCTAGCATACTCAATGCCAAAGTAATATCCAGATCGTTTGCCAGACTTGCTACTGCTAGTCCACCAAACCTCTCAATTAGCATTAGTTTCTTACTGATCCTCTCTGAAATTTTGGAAAAAAATCAAAATACTTTACTAGGGTTTCTAACCTGCTATTTGTGGAAAGTTATCCTGAGCAATCTTTCTCAAATCCTCACACTTGCTAATTAAAGCATGATCGATTTTATTTTTGATCTGATTCGAACTTCTACTTGGAACACTTCGACCTCTTTTTGTTGTTTTTGTTTCAAATCTTCGGATTCTTGGATCAAAAAAGCTAGTCTCCTTGTTGGAATGATTGAGAAAAACTGTTCGATTATTCATACTGATACATTCCCATCCAGATGGCAACGGTTGGGTCACATCAGCAAATGAGTTGGCGAATCGGACAAAAAGTGGTTGGTTTTCGAATCTCAAATAGATTTTGATTTTTCTAAAACTGATGAGGCAAACTTACTTTGCCGGTGGATCAGAATCTTTTTGAATCCTATGAATAGCATGTCGGACTACAGAACACTCGTTATAGATTTTCATGGCTTCATGATTTTCGTAAAGAGCAGTTTTGAATTCATCTCGTTTAAAAAAATGAATCAAATCATTTTTCGGACATCCATCTGATCTTATAGCAATTGTTCTTCGAGGAGTTATGAAGCTGAAATTGGCAATCGCTTACTTCTAGAAATAAATATTTCAAATACCTATTTCTAGCAGAATCCGATCTGTCCGCAAACTTTTGATGGATTGGAGTCATTGGTTCAATGCTGTTGTTATTCAAAATGTCCGGCTTTGTCCATCGTGTTTCTTTTGTCACATGATTGACATAGAATTTTCGTTTCTTCGCATCCACATACGTTTTCCATTGGGATTCCGAAGGTGTTTGACTTGAAGAAGCGATCTCCATGATGTTTGGAACTTTTCGACCTGGAAGTCGGGATTAAACTGGTGTATATTTTAAAAAAATTACAGAGAATGATCCTAATGATCCTTTCTACCAAAACAGAACGATCCAGTAAGGTCAAAAGTTGTCTTGAAGTGTTACCGGAATACCTTAGAACCTGTAATGGAAGGCCATTACACTTGAGCTCAATTATCTCGATTTTTATGCATGATATTGAAAATTTGTCAACTGGGAAAACATTATGACATTATGATAAACAGTTTATCTGTTGAAAACTTTTTTATATCTTTCGCAGGAACCGAGGAAAATTGGTGCAAATTTTAAATTGAGGGGGCAATACTATTACAGGTTTTACAGTACATTTCCAACAACAGAATCCAATATTATTTATACGCTATCATCTTTACAAAGAAAGGAATTATTTTTCACAGAAAAAAGACTCTGTCATTTTAAATCTCAGTCGTAATCATTCGATTTCAGAATGATACTCTTTAAAAAAATTGAGAATTGGAGCAAGTTCCAAACTCTTTGTCTAATGACGGAGGATAACACTAAAAGAAAATGTTTGAACTTTTAGAATCGTTAAATTTGCACTTGTCTTCCAAGAAGTCCAAAACTTCTTCAATTACGATGCAGTTTTTTCAACCCCCATAGTTTTCTAGTTATCCATTCCAAAGGAAAAGAAAAAATAACTCACTTGTTTTGGGTTCAATACTGAAAACAATGTCAACAGTGTAATTGTGGGAGAAACTTTTCGATTGGAAGAAGTTATTCTGGAGTCTGCAATTACAGATTAAACATTTTGAGAATCCGAAAAAGTGGGCAGAATGAGGCCTCTCTGAACATGGGGCACAAAGTGGAAAAACAGCTCTTCGGGTCCAACTGGTCTCAAGGGACAATATCTGTAGCACCGAATCTTGACATTTCACAGATTTGTAACGGGGAGTTTATATGGGCAAACGGATGGAGTTGAGAGGAAGAAAAAAGAGTGAAGGGAAGGGGACAATTCGAATGTAATGTGACACTCTTATCTCTCGAAAAAATATTCGAAAACAGAATTAGACAAAAATGTGTGTGGGGTTGGCTTCTTTTTGTTTCAAAGGATTTTCAATAATGTTGTGTTGTAGATTTCTGGAGGCATGCCATTGCTGCTCTTTTTCATCTAATCAAATATGAGCACAAAGAGCTTCTAGCTTGCACGTGTTTTTCTTTTTTGGGTCTCACTGAATTCGATAATTGAAGAGATTTCGAGACTCTGAGGTTTTTATAAAATATATTTTAAAAGGACTCAAAAAATTAAGGAGATTACCTTTTCGAAATATTTCGTCCTTGAGAATAAAAAAATATTAAAATTATGCTTAATATTCATGAAATTCTGCAGAACTTTTTTTGGCCTATTCATGGATTGCCTATAAAAAATTGAGCACAAATTTCCAAAATTAAAACATATCGAAATGGGTTATCGAAAAATCAAGATTTAGAAACTCGGAAATACAAATATTCCGGATTTTACAGAATGTGAGAAATTCAGTCAGCTTGATAATTTGGGAAATCCTGAGATCTCTAACTGTTAGTTTGAAATTTAAAAAAAAATTAAGGAAAACCAAAATTTAGCAAATCAGAAGCCTTATTGTTAGAAATTCAGAAAATTGTGAATTCCTGTCTCCTGTTATCAAGGAATGCGGAAATTTGAAAATTAAGTTTTTTCTAAGTTACTATACTTTGAGATTTGGAGTATTTGAGAAATTTAAAGAGAAATTACTCAAAAAAGCGGAAGCCAGAAAGTTGAGTACCCGACAAGGAGCGAAACACCACTGGTAGCACAAGAAAAAACCGGTTTCTCCACTTTTAGAAAAACTTCAGGTAACCAAATTAGATTTCATTCCAGAAAATGTTTTCTGAAAAAACCAACTTACTGATTTGCTGAAATAAAGTGGTCAAAATTGTCCATCTCCGGATGCTTCACCAATGAAATATGAAGATCTTCAAATTCAAAATCAAAATCAAATCCCATTTGATACGAATTGAATGTCACATTTTTCTTCGAAGATCCCAATTTTCTAACTTTCGGAATTTCGACTCTTCCTTGATTCGTATTCAAATAAACATGAATATTATCTGGTTTTTTCACTTCTGAAATTTCAGTTTCTAAGAAAAAATTCCTTGGATTGGTTATACCATGAAAAATTAGCGTTGCAGATTTGCAAATTTCGATATTCTTTGATTTTGACAACATTCTTCCAGTCATTCCATCGATCAAACCAAAATAGACTTCAGAAGCGTTCAACAGATTTTTAGAAGTTAATGTGAAAACCACAGGGGAGATATGCTGACGAAGGGATTTTTGATCCAGGTAGAATGATGAATCATCTGCGCTTTTCAAAGTTTACAAAACTTCAAAATTTGAAAAAAAAACTTACTGGCATCGAATAAACCTATCCAATCAAGACAGTTTTCTGATTTGTTGATATTCCACCAAACTTTGATTATCTGAAAAATGGTTTTTTATGAATTTTGTTTATCGTATTTCCTCTAGCCCACCCAAATTGTTGACTTTGAGCTTAATTATCTCGATTCCTGTGGAAGATATCAAACATTTTTCCACAGAAAAATATTGATTATATCAAATATTTTATCAGTTGACAATTTTTTAATATATTACTCAGCTATCAAGATTTGAGCTCAAAGTGGACGTTGGGGCGGGCTTCTACAACGGCAACTTCGAATGTTTTGAGTTTTATAAAAACTTTAATAACTGTTACTATAAATTCAATTTTCAAACAAAATTTCAAATGAGTACCTCACTTTTATTTCCAAATGGATAAACTATGTCTTTTGATACAAATATTCCAATTTCCGAAGTGGAAGGTTTATCACTTTCAACTTCACGCCGTTTCAATGTAATCATTCTGTGAAAAATATCTTTAAAAATTCAGCTCCGGTCTGAAAAAACCAAAGAAAAACAGAAGAAAACTATGTCCAATAAATCTTAGCGTTTTTGATGAGCACCAATGTTAAATGGGACGGAAAATTCTGAGAAAGGAGTCACAACAAAAAAAAGGCGGCGCATTCTTTTGAACAAAAGAAAAATTCCGAGACTGGGCGACCGGAAACGGTGGTTCCCAAAGTCAGGGACACACGAAAAAGCAGCTCTCGATTTCCTTTTTTCTCTAGAAGAAATCACAAATAAAGAAGATTAAGAAGGGCAAAAAAAGCATTTTCCAATTCGTAAAAGAGCCTGAAGGATGAAGAACAGACGGTCCCATGGGGTCGATCAATTTGGCATTTCTAAAAGCGTCGCCCTCCGATTTTCGAGGCCGATTTTCGAGGGGGGACAAATAGCAAATGGATGGGCTTTTTTTTGGAAGTTCAAAATATCACAAATTATTTATTAAGAGCCTCTTTTTCTTTTGAAAAACCAATTGTTTCTCTTGACAGAAGTCTCACAAATACTTTAGTAGAATATGAAATGAAGGTGTAGAAATGAACGATTTTGAAACACGGTAGCATGGTACGAAGGAAGAGAAACGCTGGTGGCCGTCGCCGAAGGTTCTACAACGATAACTACCGTAACCTAAAAATATTCTTATTTTCCGTATTTATTATTTCGATTTTCGTGCGTTTCAGTCAATTAATATCTAATTTTAAAAAAATTTCCGTCAATTCTCCCAAACCTTGTTCTTTGAGGCCAGGTAAAGCTAAACAAATGACTGATAGACTTCATTATTGAAACTTTAAATTGATTTATTTTTCCAAAATAAATAATTACACATTAAAAAAGCGATACAAGAGATAAACAAACAAGATGATAGGAAGGAGGTGATAAGAAATGGAAATTGTAAGAATAAAATTATGTCCTTCGTGAATTACAATAGCTTGGCGAGTTAGTAAACTTTGAACAAATAAGTTTCACACATTTCTCCTTCACTAATTTTGTTGATTTCGTCTTCTTTGGAGTCTTCTAATAGCCTGATGTCTATGGAAAAATGCCATCGGATCATTCCTTTCGTTTTCCTGAATTTGTAGAAAGTTGAAAATATCTACTTCATCTCCGTCCTCGTCTACTTGGAATTCATCTTCGTCTGGCTCTCTTCCATCTTCGTCTGGATCTCTTCTCATTATTCTTTCTACTACCCCCTGTTCAAATTGCGCAAGTTGCTCAGGTTGCTCAGGCGGTGGAGGTGGGACTGGTGGAGTTACTGGGCCATCGTTTCTGACATGAAAGAAGAACGTATCGCGGATGATCGAAATTGTGGCGATAGTTGAATCAGAATCACGTGTAACCTTTTTTGAGGCTGTCGGGAACTCGAATGGAACACTTTCAACGGTCTCGAATCTTCGGAACGGGCAAGAGCTGGAATTTTTTATCTTTATAGCTGTTCTTGAACTTATTTTTCCTTACCATCTAGTATTTTCTAGACGATATGTGTCATCTTCAACATCCAAACCTTCTAGAATCTCCTCTTGTTGAAAACTTCTGTCGGGCAGTTTAACTTCCATCCAATTCAGTCTATCAAGGTCTGACTCCAGCCATTTTTTGATAAATTTATTAATTGATGTTTCAGACAAAGAGCTGTTCATCAAAATTGCTGTTTTAACATTGAGGTTGAAGAAATCCTTTTCTGTTATCCACTCGGAGTATTTCACACATATGTGATCGAGGTCGAAAATCTGGAAAAAAGAAGTAGATGGCGTTATTGTACCATCGCATACCTGTTCGAATCTTCTCGGCATTTCATGTATGTCAAAGCGACCTCTTCTCTTTGTTAGCACGGGTTCCATAATTTCAACGCCGATGTATATCTCCTTGGGTTTCAAGTTTTTCATAATCCAACCGAAATTGAGCGCAAACGCCTTTTCAGCATCTTCATCTCTGATACTTTCATGAACGGCAAGACGTTCGATACTTGTGAATGCAGTGAATTGAGAACAGACAATTCTGCTATCCGGAACAATACTTAGGTCAAGAGCGAGCTCACTAATAGCCGCGTTCTTAAAATTGAAAATATCTGTGAAATATGTGAGAGCGGTGAATACGCCTTGTCCAATGTCGGTGAGACGAGTGTGGAATCCATCGCCGCTTTTCATGCTTAAATTTAATAGAATTAGTATAATGCCACTAGAATATACTAAAATTAACTGACCATTTCAAAGAAATGCGACCGATTTTTATCTCTCCCACAAACGTCATGGGGGTATTTGGATAACGATCCGTCCAGAGAATGTCACCTTTCTCGGATTTCAGCTTTATAGACGATTTCCTCGGACTGTAGAAAATCTCCACAGCCGAAATTGGCAAGCTCACTTCGCCCAATGCATTTCTGATGTCGTCCGAAGTGAATGACAGTTGAACGCTAAAAAAATGTGCATTTAGCAATGCAGCACTTTTATTGAATCTTACATATCGTCCAATGACAAATGCTTAAAAATCGCTCTGAGTTCAACAACATTGAACTTGTGTAGAGGAAACGGGTTTTCGTTCATCATTTCTGAAACCTGAAATGCTAAATATGAAAGAAAAAATACGACAGCAAGATAGAAAAATTGATCAAAAAGCGATACAATGTGAGAATACCATTGCTGGTAGTCGACAAAACAAGAATTTCCATCCAACAAGCCGAGCAGTTTTTTAAAGTTCTTAATTTGACCAAATCAGCACTAGAAAAAGTTAATAAAATTCTGAAATGAGCTCGCCGACGAAAACGCGAGACTCGGTGATAGAAAAAATTACCGTACCTTTCCATGCCGCTTCGAAACCATTTCCAATGCGATGATGTTCCTTTAAATTATAAATGCGCGCAGATCCAAAAAATAAATTAGATTCAAAGCGAACAATGTTAAGGAAAAGAAGTAAATACGAGACCGTATCGATTCGAAATCCAATTTTCAATATTCAGACAGTGATTGATTTTCAACCACCAAATTACAGTTAAAAGACTTTTTCCTATTAAATCTGTAAGATGGATGAATGTGGATTTTTTTAAAGTTCATTAAATCCAATGCAAACAGAAAATTATATAAAGAGACCGATAGATAAAATAAACTAATGTATGTTATTCATAGCAATAACTCCTGCGACGTTCATAGCGGCTTCAACAACCTGGCCTTCCCGCTCCACCCTTTCTCTTCGACCGACTTCGTTCTTTTCCAGCTTCCCTAACTCCTTATCCAAATGTCGCACAAGGTCTTTGTGACGTTTCCTAAGACGATCATCTTCCTCAGTTTGACTCTTCGTTTGTTCCTTGTTAAGGATTCTTTGCAAGTTATCCATCTCGAATTGACGATACATGAGTTCGTGATGAAGTCGTTCTGCATTAACCAAATGCATTCTCTCCTGAACTATTCTGACGCTGTCTGGAGGTCTCACACCATCTGGCACTTTCGGAGGAGTAATTGGTCCAGTATTCTTTACATGGAAGAAGAATGTGTCACTCGTCATGGCTATTGTTCCAATTTCTCCGTCTGCTCTGGTTATCTGTTTGGTATCAGCTGGAAATTCGAATGGAACCCGTTTTGAGGATTCGAAGCGACGATATGGGCACGAGCTGAAAATAGAAGTTTTAAAATGTATTTTTTAAATATTAATTAAATTAAACTAACCATTTTTCATTGATCAACTTGTAGGATGAAAGCGTCAACTCTAATCCTTCAGTAATCTTGGCTTTTCGTTCTTCATCTTCCGCGTCGAACTGTATTTCCAGCCAACACAATTTATTCGAAGTGGAGTTCAACCAGTTCTTCAAGAACGTGTTGAGATCCTCAGCAGTCAGCTCATTGCCTCCGATTATAGCGGTGTCAGCGTACAACTCCATGAGATCTTTGGAAGTGAACCATGTAGCGTGTTTCAGGCAGAAATGATTCAGCCTGAGAGCCTAAAATAATTCAAAGCTAGAGTTGTATGTAACCCTTTTTCTCATCATGATGCCATAGAACCTATATTAGAAGGGCTGGTCTTTCTATTGTTCCAAGGTACATCTGGACGGTCTTTCTTTTACAGGGGTCTTTCCATTAGACATGGGCTTATATTGTTCGGTTTTTTCATAAGCCACTCTCGGAGAGCCCTTCTAATACAGGTTTCACGGTGTTTGAAAATTCCCAAAAACCCTCTCATATTATTGTTGTGCAAAAAAATTGGAGCGAGAGAGTATTTTTCGCAGTCCGAATACGGTAGGCACCTCGAAGCGACAAGCTTAAATAGCGCATAGTCGGTGGAGACGCAGAGAAATATTTCGATTAACTGTCTGCGTCTCAACTCCAATTTTTCGGACAACAATAACAGTCGCTCACCTTATCTAGACGAAGTGGCAATCGTCGAATTTCAAACTCTCCCTCTGGCGTGCGAACCATCTTCTGCTCAAATAGATCCACTCCACAATACAGTTCGTGAATTTTCAAATTTTCAAGAATCCAATTAAAGTTTTGTGCCAAGTTCAACTTGTTTCTGTCATTATCCACACTTTGATGAAATGCCAATCTCTCAACAGTCTTGAACTTCATAAAGTGCTCACAAACTGAACGGCTGTCTTCAATAACTCCAACATCGATGAACAGTTCACTGATAATTGATTCAGAGCAATTGAATATTGCCACAAGATATCTGATGACTGCAAGCATTGCGTGCTCCACATCATAATGCTCCGTATGGTATCCAGATGCTGTTCTTTTGCTGAAATCGGTTCATAATTCCTAATTGGGTTTTCATTATTCTTACCATTGAAACTTGAATGCTCTGATTGCATAGTGTCCTTCTCCAATGTATTCTGCTTTTTCTGGATATCCAAAAGACCAAATGAATTCATGTTGTCCAGATTTTAGATGGATCAAAGGTGTTCCAGATTCAAATCGAATACTGATTGACTGAATTGGAACACTGGCTTTATTCAATGTTCCTCTCACAAGACTGTTTGTGAAAGACAACTCGAATCTGGAAGAAGAAATGTGATGGATAGCTAAATTTGTATAGAACTTACATGTCAACCAGAGTCAGATTCTTGTAAACTTCATTCAGTGAGATATAGTCAAGGTCGTGGAGGGGAAACTCAGTTTCATCCTGAGCCATCTTCTGAAAAAAAAGAATTTGGAAAAATAATGACAACGGCGAGGAGAACAGTTGGAGAAGAGTTATAGTCTCAAACATTTCAAGCAAATTCTAATTACAAAATTCGTATAAAAATGGGCAAATTGCTGGAAAACTTGATTCTCATCACGAATTATCAGTTATCTTTCTATGTTTTCACTAAATACTAGAAAAACGATCATTCTTAATTTTAAACAAACTGGACCGTAATCCAATAATCTACGAAAACATTTCCAAAAAATGAGGAGAGCCTCGAAAAAGGAGGAGAACATACGAATCAATATTCCTAGACACAACAGCCAAGGTCTGCGTCTCCAACTGTTATTCTTCTTTCTCTTTGTGTTTCGTGGTTGGGGGGATAAAAAAGAGCCATAAATAATAAAAAATGGGGAAGAAAAGAAGTTTGAAGAGAAAATTGTAGGCTGACAAAAAGAGGCAAAGTGACAGTAAACAGATAATTGGAAATCTAGAATTATGAGGTTTCAATTGGGTTCAGGATCATATGTTATTCTCAAGAGGTATCAAGTTTCTAGTATCCACAAGAGTTGGCATAATCGTAGGAGTGCCAAGATTCTTCGCCCAAGAACGGAAGTTAGTTCTCAAAGAATTAGAATTTTCACTTGTTTCTCAATATTTACATATCAGCATCATCTCGTGGCTTTCTCCTATCGATCTAGACACTCTCTCCTTTTCTTGTTCTTCTTCTCCTCATTTTTCGTCCTGGCATCTCCACGAAAGTATCACTATGGAAACGAAAAAACCTCTCCCAACTGGCACACTCTTGCTTGACTTTAAAACACTCCGTCCCGGATTTTAATTATTTCTCAGATACATGTGATATATAACGGATCAACTAATTTTGTTTTGAAAAACTATTGTGGATCAGATTTCTCTTTAAAAAACAAGATCATGAACTTTTAAAATCTTTTTATATCTTCTGAAACCAAGAGCCAATCGTTTCAACCGTTTCCCCAAGGAATCTCTGACTAACTTCACATTTTTGCGTAGTTTCGGTCAATCTAGTGGAAAAGACGTTTGAGTGGTGTAACATGTACTTAGACTCCAGTGCAGATGGTCACATCTCTTTTGCCATCTGCGTGTCTTTTCGAGACTATTCTCCTCTCTGCGCTCTCTCATTATCATATACTCTCTAGGTCACACGTTAGAGACTCGCTTCACTTTTGCTGAAATTCTAACTATTTGGGTTATAGATTTCTCTAAAACTTTCGTACCTATTCCAGAATTTCGAATGGAGGCGGAACCGTTGGATACAGAAACGGAGGACGAAAAAAAGTGGAGACAAGAACGTATGCGAGTTTTGGACGAATGGTGTGAGGTGAGGATTTAAACTTTTGAATTAAAAAAAACGTTTTTTTTTTTTAATTTTTAACATTTAAAAATTTCCAAGAGATACCAAATTTTTATATCTTCTAAAAAGCAACTATCGTAAAGCCTTTAATAGAAGGACCTTCTAACTTTTAACTTTTAACCGATTTATCTTGGTTCCTGTAGAAGATATCAAAAATGGGTCAACTGACAAAATGCTTCTGGTATTATGATAAACAGTTTATCAGTTGACAACTTTTTGATATCTCTTACGGGAACTTAGGAAAATTGGTTCAAAGTTGAAGGTCGGTATCCTTCTATTACATGCTTTCATGTATATCCGAATTTAAAAACTTCCGAAAACAACATTTACAGATCGAACTGAAAGGTGCAGATGCTCTAAAAACGGATGTAACACATGAACCAGGATCTCCAACGGCTGCAGTGGCATCCGAGACCACATTTCCAGAGCTCTATCGTCTCCTCGTTGCCACAACGCCTGGAACAATACCTCGTGAAACACCAGAAGAATTCGCGAAAGAAATAATAGAAAGCAGAACTTCAGAAGCGCCAGACAACCGTTCAGCTTTCGATAGAATAATCGATGTTTGTCTGTGTCGACCTGTAAAAGCTCAGATTAGTCCGACAGTCTACACGGACAAAATGTTGATTCTGAAACTTGCTGAAACACCATACAGCCATGAAAACGGAACTCATTGGCTCATTCTCACTGATTATTTTAATAATGTCTCCAAGGCATTGATGACGTCTTCTGAATATACAACTGTTGCAAACCCAGGAAGAGTTGGTGCTCATTGGGTTACTGTAGGATTCCAATCAGCCACTCCACATACAGATTTTCGAGGTTGTGGAGTGCTCGGATTGCTCCAAATGCTAACTTTCACCCAGAAAGTTCCAGCGAATATCCTCAAAGCAATAGTTCTCTTAGCAACGACTGAACCCAATGTGAGAGTTTTGTGTGTTTAAATCGGTTTAGTTGTTTTCTTGTTTCAGGATTTTCCATTGGCAGTTGTCTCGATTAATATTACAAGTTTGTTATTAACGCTTCTCAAGAAAGGAGCATTTGATAAGTGAGTTCATTGATTGAAAAAAGGCCTAATGTACCACAACGACAACTACCGTAACCTAGAATATTATTATTTTCCGATTCGGTTTTCTCTTTTTTTTCAGGCAGTTTTTCACTATATATCAACAATTTTTATTTTCCCACTAATTTTGGGAAAAATAACATAAAACTATCCAAAAGCAAGGAAAACAAGAAAAAATCAGAAAATAAACGAATTTTCAGATTACAGTAGTTGTCGATGTGGGACCTTTTGTTCCAATTTTTCAAAACAAGCATAATATGAACTTTGCAGCTATGGAAACGAAAACGAAGGACTCTATCCATTTTTCTCTGCTCTTCACGCCGCTTCCATGTCTCGATTTTGCTCTATTTACAAATCTCAAAACAGCACTTTGGCTGATACTCAAACAATATTCAGTGGTTCGCTATTTATTTTTTGCTCTCTAAATTTTTATTATCTTACAGAAATAACTCGACAACTCGAAAAATCTCCGTTATCTCTCTTAAACCTACTGAGTACATCCAACGACGAGCTCATCAACACCCTCCTGTGATTGCCATCCCAAGTGAATCTGAACCTGTGACAAAAAAGCTTTACAAAGCTTCAAAAAATTTTCTTTTCTTTTAATTAACCGTTTTCGAGTTTATTTATGCACATAGAGAGTTTACAATAAAAAAGTCAATAAATAAAGTGAGGATTACAGCGGGGAAAGCAGGTTGGCGGATAAAAGTGAAGCGGAAGGAAGCGTTGAAACACCAAGAGGGATTGAAAATGAATATTCTAGCGTGTTGAAAACTAGAACCAGTGATTTTCAAATTGAATTATCGTTTAGGCCTCGTCCTTATCCTTGGTTCCGTGCTTGAGCATGCGAGTGAACTCAACATAATCGAACTGTCCGTTCTGAAATATAATACGATGTGAAGGCCCACTGATAGATTCAAACCTTGATGGGAGCATCTCTGAACAATTCATCCACTTGCTCCTCGGTATATCTCTCTCCCATCGTCGTCAGTAATTCACGCAGATGTTCTTCATTGAGCTTTCCCGAATTGTCTTCGTCGAAGCACTGGAACGCATTCCGTATGACTTCTTCCGGGTCTGTACCCGTTAGTTTTTCACCGAACAACGTCAAGAACATGGTGAAGTTAATCGGTTGAGCACCTGGAGCCTCATTGATCATAGAGTCGATGAATTGTTCCGTGACTTCCTTTCCGAGAGAAGCGAACATATCCTTCAGATCCTCTTGATCGATGAAACCATCACGATTCTGGTCGATCATGTTGAATGCTTCCTAATATACAAAAGTTCATTTTTTAGATCATCGTCTGAAAAAAAAATTACCTTGAACTCCTGAATTTGAGCCTGATCGAACATGGCGAACACATTCGAAGTAGCTCTTTGTGGCCGTTGACGGCGATTAACAGTCTTGCGGGAAGCCATTGCGGTATCCTGAAATGACGGCTTCAGTATATGGCTGATGAAAACACAGGTTCACGGCAAGAAAGAGTATCAGAATCGCATATGTTGCCTTTCGAAAAGATTCAAACAGCCACACAAAAATAAAAATTTGAAAAGGAGCTGGCACATGAAACAAAAAATAAGAAAGTGGGAGGAGAGACATTGTCTTCGATGATAACAAAAGATGACTCAACGATGGAAATGTTTTGTTTTATTCTATCGCGTTTTCTATTACGATTTCGTGTTTGATGTCGATTGGAAGGAAATACCGAGGACACATAGAATGGAATACTGATCCGAATAAATGACATGGGAAAGCACGCCGTTCGTTCGAATGAGTATCTACAAGTAGAATCTGATTCATATTCTGATAGTGTTTGACGAGAATGACCGAGAATCTTCGACGGTTCTTATCGTTTTCAGGAATATATATCCTGCAGGAAGAAGACGCACTATTCAGAGATGTTAGAAAAGTTCGATTGAAACGCCAGGTGATCGGAAAAAAATAATAGTAAGTATAAAAAGAAACTAATAGTAAGTATACGTTTGAGCTTTGTGAATCGTTTGATAAATGGGGAATATGGAATTTTTCTGCGAGGAAGCGAAGAATCCGGAAAAATCTATACAAAGTGATTCACATGACGGTAAACATAAACGGGAAGGAGCGGAAACAATCGATATTCGGAACGGAGAAGCAATGCGAAGAGAAGAGAGAGTGGAGGCAGTCGCAACCTCTTATGTGTATATATGGACAGTCTCAGGAGATGGTGAAAGGAAATGAGAACGGAATGTGAGATGGATTACGATGAAGAAGATATTATATCGAAAGCATTCTTTGTCAGGAAACAGCAATTAGAAATTATGAGCAAAAGAAAATGCGATAATCCAGTTTCTATGTTATTATGAGGAGATTCGAAGTATTTAGCAAAAACAATATTTCCGCTGGCTTTACATGTTAGCGAAAATAGCAAAATTTAAGATTTTTTGTTAGGATATCCAGTGTATCAGGTTAGTGATAAATTTTTGCTATACGGCTTGGTTTCGCAATCGGTACTGAGTGACTCATCCTTACAGCTGCGAAAAAATCTGGGAAAATGCTACTTTTGACATTCGCCACGAAAGACGATAAGGATTTACTTTATCAAACGACAATGGAACTGAAAGAAGAACCACAAAAACTGAGAAAAAACCACAAAATTTTGGAGATTCGCAGCAGATTCGCATCGTTTTTTGTTTGAAAAAGTACCATTTGAGAGCGCGCCAATTTAAAGGCGCATAGAGTTTCGTAACAACGATATCTCGACACGAAATACACTTTTTGAATATTTTCGTTCCGTTTGCTGGTTTTCTGAGCATCGTTTTGATTCGATTTCCGCAGAATCTTGTGTATGTGTTGGTTTCTGGAATAGCAAAAATGTAAAACAATTTTACTAGTCGCTGAAACTAAATTATGAGTAAAAACAGAGTGACTCTGACTATCATATAATTCGACTTGCATCATTTTATACCTTTTCATGCGTTTCGTAGACTTCATGAAATTTTATCATATAAAGATTTAATTATAGGGATAATGAACACCGCCTCTTTGGTCCGTTCTCTCACCCGTGTGGCTCTTCATTCCACCAATGCTGTTAGGATGGCGGCACCTCGCCATTTTTCGTCCACTGCAAAAATGATGTCAGTGACTCCAGAACTTCAACAAGCATTGAATCGCGAAATCGAAGCTGAACAACAACTGAGCAAAGACAATCTTCAAGGCTCCGTCGCTCCAACCTTCCCTGGGTTCGCTGTGACCACCAAGGAAGCTGAAGTTCGGCTTACGAAGAAAAATGGCAACGAGGAGTAAGTAACTTTTATCAGGTTCTCACTATCAGTGTGAAAATAGGAGTATTATTGCAGTATTCTTGTTGTTTTCAATGTGAATCATTCCGTTGACATGGATGAAGGTTTCGACGATGAGCCATCCCAAGCTGTTGCTCCAGTTCCAGTCGCACTTCCACCATTCACCGTGGAGATCACTAAAGGAGACCAAAGACTTTGCTTCCACCTGGAGCTTGTACCAGTCGACGACCAACCAGAAGAGTGTACGTCATTAGTCAAAATCGAGTTGTTAGAAAAAAACAATTACAGATGACTTCCGTGTGGAAGAGTTCTACGTGGCTCCATCAGCCAAAAACGGAAACGAAGACGTTCCATCAGAGGTGTACGCCAGCAGCGGAAAGTACATCGACCCGGTTAGTTGTCGTCCTGGTGTTCAACACAAAAACTTACTAGAAGTTTTGTGAGAGAAATCGAGAACTACCTTTCGGTTGTTCAAGTAGTCCTTTTTCCCCGGAGGGGTGTTCAATCTATCGATTAATTTCCATTCAGGACCTTCACGACCTTCTGTTTGTCCGTTATTTGGAGGAACGCGGTCTCGATGCTCGTTTCTGCAAAACACTCGTTGCGTACGCCACTCACTACGAACACTCGCAATACGTCGGGCTTTTGGATAAGATCAAGAAATTCATCTCCATGTAGACCTTATCCGTTTTTTTTGTTTTCCCTAATTAAAATAATTTCTGTTGACTTTTTTTACGTTAAATTAGGTAATTTAGTTTTTGTTTTTTCTCCTATATAAAATAGTTATATTTTTTCTCTCTATTTCTTAATCACCTGGTTCTCATCAAGCAACAAACGACTCGCGCTTTTCCATTTTCTATCGATATCAAAAATCTTCTCTTTCTCCGTTTTTGCTCATTTACCCGTCTTCGTCTTACTCCTTTTCGATGGAAAATAATTTAGAACTAAAGTAGAGGATTGCAGGTTCCGTAATGGGGGAAGAGCAAGTACAAGAGTTCAAGCTAAAGGAAGACTGCGAATTGAGGTTTGCAGCAGGAGAGGATTCTGAAGTTGTCCTAGAACTTGTACATGGATACGCAGAAATCTTTGGAACTGAAATTATTTTGAATAAAAAATATAATTTCCCAGCTAGTGAGTTCAAAAGTTCTATCTTCGTAGGTAATTTGTTGCTTTCCAGAGTCACGAGTAGCTGTTTTTACATGGAAAAGTGCCACCATCGAGCTAGTCGGAGCTACAGAAAGTGCCTACGTGGCTGAAAGTACTCCGATGGTTATCTATCTGAACATCCATGCAGCTATGGAAGAAAGCCGGAAGAAGCGAGAAGAGCAGGCAGTTAGCAATTCCAGCAAACCAAAAGGTCCTAGGTTGTTGCTAGGTAATTTTGCTTTAAAATCTGAGACATTTTTGAACTGACACAATTTCAGTTGGACCTCAGGATGTCGGAAAGACGACAGTGTCCCGAATTCTGTGTAACTATTCAGTTCGACACGGACGCACTCCAATACTTGTAGATCTGGATGTTGGACAGAATAGTGTTTCTGTACCAGGATCTGTTGCCGCTTTACTGGTTCAGAAGACAGCTGATGTTGTAGATGGATTCGAAAGGAATATGCCTATTGTCTACAATGTGAGTTTTGTTTCTCGTTTATTTATTTATTAACCATCATTCTGTATTTTTCAGTTCGGACACAGTTCTCCATCTCAGAATCTTTCGCTCTACGAAACCCTATTCAAAGCCCTCGCATCTACAATCAACAGTCAGGCATGTTAATAAAAGGACTTTCAAAAAGTAGACAGTCTCATGATGTTCTTAATTTCAGATTGAACAAAATGACGAAGCAAGACTTGGAGGAATGATCATCAACACTTGTGGATGGGTCGATGGAGAAGGATACAAATGTATTGTGAAAGCAGCGTCGGCTTTCGAAGTCGATGTTGTCATAGTATTGGATCACGAAAGACTCTACAGTGATCTCAGCAAAGAGCTCCCAGAGTTCGTACGGCTGACCCATGTTCCAAAATCAGGAGGAGTCGAACAACGAACTGCACAAATTCGATCTGCGACCAGAGGAGAAAATGTCCATCGAGTGAGTCTTGAAATTTTAGAAATGTGTGAGTAGTAATGCTATTTCAGTATTTCTATGGAACCAGAGCCAACAATCTTTTTCCATTCACATTTGATGTTCCATTCGATACAGTCACTCTTTGCAAAATCGGTGCTGAACAGGTTAGTTTTATTACAAATTGTTGTTTTTTTAAAGAAATGAAACTTTCAGCTGCCTGATTCCTGTCTGCCATTTGGAATGGAAGTTGAGAATCACGAGACGAAAATTATTATTATTGAGCCATCAGTGGAAATCAAGCATCATCTTTTCTCTTTCTCTCGCGGTTCGATTGCTGAGAAAAATGTGCTCACATCATCGGTGTGGGGATTCTGTCTTATTACAGAGGTTTGTTTTTATTGACACAAAACTTTTCTTTCTAAATATTTACTATTTTCAGGTCGATATGGAGAAAAGAACTATCTCAATTTTATGTCCTCAAAACACGATTCCATCAAAGACGCTCGTTTATTCAGAAGTCACCCATCTTGACGACCAGATAGAGCGATAATTTATGTTTCTGAAATGCTTTACTACTTTTTTCACATTCCTGAATAAACTATTACTTGCAAACGTACTTTTGGATCATTCACAATTTATTGGATTGACGACCAAAGGGGCCATTGAAATAAAAATAAATGGTGGGGGGTGGTGTTAGCTTTAAAATTCTCGACAAAAATGATGAATCATAGATTGGATATAGTTTGGTAGACGGGGGACGCGTTTTCGGATGAGAACAGAAGGCTGAGAGATGGATGGGGTGGGGAAGTGGAAAATCCGGTTTTCATGAAATGTAAACTAGGCTTATAGTACTAGGTCAAAGGGGGGAACTGGATGAAATAAAACTTTAAAATATGAAATGAAGTTGGTGGATGGGAAAATATAAAATAGTGAATAACTCAATTGAGTGTGGGAAAACGAGATGATTTTACATCGTTGATTGAGCGTTTAGAACAGCGTTTTTGAAAGCCGTTGCGATGGCCTCATCTTTGAACTTTGCGGTGAAGATAGCGGCATCAGCAGTTGTTGAGTCCTCCGAAAAGTCCTGTAATATGTAATTGGTGTTGAATTGAAAGCTCGTTACAGTATACCTGGCACATAAAAGTGAGGACATTTGGCATGTTTTGCTTTGGAGTCAACTTGATTGATTTATCAATGCGGAAGTTAGCACAAAGTTTGTGCACTTGTTCACGGCGCATCACAATTCTGTACTTGTTATCCTTGCTTTTCAGGAGCTTAAACATATTTTTAGGGATCAATATATTTCAATTTTTTGGTAAACAGAAAAAAAAAATGAAATCCACGACACTACTATTTTTTACAACAGAATGAACAGAGAACCGACGCCTACCTTGATATCTCCAAGTCCTCGCTCTTTGTTTTCTTGCAAGTCCGAGTGGAACTTGAAGAGCTTGCATCTTGCAGTGAACATAACCTCCTCGTCTTCCTCTCCTGTTTTCACTTCAATCAAATCCGGGAGTGGAACCACTGGCGCGAAGTTAACCTCTGGTTCATATTCTCCGTCTCCATCTTCATTAGCATCTTCGTTATCGTCGTTCGCAGCAGTGGTGTTTGGAGTATTTGTCTTGCTGCCGAAAACACTTGTCTTTTTCTGGGAAGCGAGCTCCTGTTGTGCCTTTTGAGCATTAGTGGAGTCGAAGATGTTTCCAGTTCCGTTAGCAGCGACCGAAGCAAATGTTGATAAACCAGTAGTGAAGCTGCTTCCGAAAACTCCCTTCGGCGTTTCAATGATTTTTTTCTCATCGGCTACAGCTGGAGAAGCGGTGGGAGTAGCTTGTTTGCCGAAGGAAAACGAAGGTTTGGCTGCAACTGATTCGGTTGATTTGCTGAACGAGAATGATGGAGCAGCTGCAGTAGAATCAGTCTTGCCAAGTCCTCCTCCGAAAAGAGCATTTCCAGTAGCTGATGGCGCTGGAGAAGCCGTTGATCCTGACTTGTTGAAGTTGAAGGATGGTGTGGTGGCATTGGTAGCTGCAGCAGGTTTATTGAACGAAAATGTCGGAGTGTTAGTTGCACCTCCACCGAACATACTTGTTCCCTTCGGAGTTCCACCTCCAAAAATGTTACTGTTTGTGCTTGGGGATCCATTCAGCGACGCTCCAAACTGAGAGGTTTGGGCTGCAGGTGCCTTAGCTGGAGCAGATGCACCGAACCCGAACGTAACCTTTGGAGTGCCGGTTGGAGGCTGGAGAACAGACGGTCTGAAGAATAAAACAGTTGAAAAGTTCACAGAAACAGTCTTACTTGAAAATATTTTTTTCTTTGGAAGGATCTTTGGGGGTTCCACAAGCTAAACATTCAGTAGCATCATCGGCACATTTACAATAGCATGTGGGGCAATCCCACTCTCCAGGTTTCAATTTGAACTTGTCTCCAAAACCACTGTTGGAAGGAATTACTACTTCCTCCTTGATCTCCTTTTTCACTTCCTTCTTCACCTCTGCTGGCTTGATCTCTTTTTCAATAGTACCATTCGACTTGTGCTCAGAAACGGCTTTTTCGAAGAGATTCTTGAACTCGGTGGCGATCTCAACACTACCGAAACGAGCTGACAGCTTGACATGAGCGGGCTCATCTTCGGAGAAGTCCTCGCAGAACCAGGTGTAAGCCTTCTCATTTGACTTCATTTGTTGAATACTCATCGAACCGACAATAGGGAAGTTTGCGCACACTTTGAGAACCTGCAATTGGATAATCAGTGTTTGGTTTATAAACTAAGTGGAATATATTGTCTTAATTCAACGAACAATTTCCGAAGAAACCGTTCAATGAAGGAGTTAAACATGGAATAACCTGAATATCCCAGCATAACTCTTCTTTTTCGTTGACATTATTAAATGGGAGTATCTCCTCCGAAATGGTCACCTGTTCTCGTCTCATCACTACTCTCCAGGATTTTTTGTCTTTGTTGTAAAGGATCTTCAATTCTCCCGTTCCTCGTTCCTTCCATTCTTTGGTTTCGTTAGCAAAAATGTAAAGCTTCGCCCGGTTCGTGAAAACAGCTTGCTCTCCTTCTTCTCCAGTTTTCACTTCAACAAGGTCAGGTAATGGGATTACTGGTGTGAATTCGCCAGCTGGCTCGTAGTCGTCTTCTTTCTCATCGTCATCATCGGCATCAGCAGACGGTACGACGACTGGAGTCGGGACTGCTGCTGTTTCTGGTTTCTTTCCGAAAATAGAGGTAGATGGAGTGGCTCCGCCGAAAGAGAATCCTTGGGTCGCTGGAGTAGTTGGCGCAGCCTTTGGTTTCTCCACAAGCGTTGTTGATGGTTTTTCAGTAACAGTGGGTGATGGGAATGATGGCTTCACTACAGGTACAGTGACCTCTGCAGTCGGAGCGGTCTAGAAATAATTGTTCGAATGGAGAATTTGCACATGATTGGGGCTTGAAATAAAAATTAAATTCTGATGCATACCTTTGGCAATAGCGAAACAGGGGCAGTCTGAACTGGCGGAACCTGTGGTTTGATTTGTGGGGTTTGTGCAATGACCGGCTGTTGAGCGGGAACAACTTGCTTGGGGGCCCCGTTTGCGGCGCTAAGCAAGTTCACCATGGCCTGATTCTGTGCCTGTGCTTGTGCCTGGGCCTGTGCTTGAGCATGAGCATACTCCATTTGCCGCATAAGCATAATCTGTTGCTGTTGCTGAAGTTGTGCAGGAACGATTGAAGTCGCACCAACAGGGTTTGCCTCGCGAGTGAGAAGCGTCTGTATAATTTGATGAAGTCTCTCCAGCTCTTTGCCGTGAAGAGCGTTGATGTCAGAGAGCTGTTTCTGGGAACGATCTTCAGAACGGCGGAAATCTTCCCGGAGCTGCGAAATCCCCGACTGATGCTCGAGCTATAAAAAATTATTGTAAAACTGGTGTTCTGTTAGTGGAAAAATAAACCTTCAAAGCTTCCAATCCTTTTGCAAGTGAATCGAATTGTAGAGCCATTGTGGCCTGGACATCCACGACGCCGGCAACGACGCGCCCGATGCTCTGCAACGTCTTCACACTAGGTCAAAAAGCATTTTGCCATTACAAAAATACTTACCGTTTTCTGATCGCTCATTACGAAGAGAAGTAGAGCTGCAAGTATAGAATTGTTTTCTCATTTAACATGGAGTAGGGTAATTATTGAAGTAACGATTTAAAAAGAATAAGTAAAAATGTGACAAGAGTCGAAAAGTATTGCCGAAAAACAGCCGAAAAGTAACTGCCTAAAAAAGTATTACTAAAACCCCATTTTTGCGCGAATCAGATTTCGAAACATAAAACAAACTGTATCGAAGTTGAGAGGAGAACAAGACAACAAAAAATAATCGGAATGGAGCTTCCATCCAATATTTAGACACTCCACCGATTCTGAGGAAGNNNCCTTATTGACNAAAACAAAGAATGTAGAGAAAGAGATAAAATGCTAATTACTAAAAACTAAAACCTTAACTTGTGGGTTTGAACTATCATCTAGAATTCAGATTCAACGCTAATTAATTTTTTTCACTTACCAGAACTTAATTTCCACCATAGATATACATAATATCACATTACATACAACATAGTAGTCAACAATAGCATGAAGTGGTTGAAAACGTAAGGGAGAACTCAAAAATAGAGAAAGGGATGACTTTTTTAAATTGGTGCCAACATGCTCTTACACCGCCTCCCGATATAAAAAAATAAAATAAAACAACTAGCTGTTCTTTCGCGGCAGCTAACGTCTTCTCAGCTTCTGCTCTATAGATATCAAAACTTGAAACATGATCTGCCACTTTTGACTCCAAATCAATTTTCTCTGATCGAACGGAAGCGATTTC